AATTAATCTATTGTCCTAGAGCATTTATGTACCAAATTTTATTCAAATGTGATGATCAGTAATTGAGATATCAGTGTTAATTAATTATGTTAATTAGGTGATTAATAAGCATAAATATTTACCAAAAACTTATTGGGTCTCATTGAAATGTGATGATGAGTACTCTTTAAAAATTTCATTAAAATCCAATTCGTGGTTTTTTATATATCAGTGTAACATTCATGGACAAAATTAACTAATTACCGGTATGCAAATTAGGTAATTAATATCCACAGTTATTTACCCTAAAACTAATCAGGTCTCTGCATAGTCCTAGAAGGTCTATGTAGCAAGTCTCATTGAAATATGATGATTAGTACTTGAGATATCAGGCAAAAAGCTGAAAATTAACTAATTATGCTAATAAGGTAATTAATATGCACAAATATTCATCCAAAAACTAATCAGGGGTCTGCACAGTAACTATGTACCAAATTTCATTGAAATGTGATGATTACTACTTGAAATATCAAAAGCTGGAAACTAATTAATTATGCAAATTAGGTGATTAATATGTACTAATATTACTCTGAAAACTATCAGGTCTGTGAATGTCCTATGACATCTATGTACCAAGTTTCATTGAAATGTGATGATTACTACTTGAAATATCAAAAGCTGAAAATTAATTAATTATGCAAATTAGATAATTAATATGTACTGATATTACCCTAAAAACTATCAGGTTTGTGCAGTGTCCTATGACATCTATGTACCAAGTTTTATTGAAATGTGATGATTAGTACTTGAAATATCAAAAGCTGAAAATTAATTAATTATGCAAATTAGGTAATTAATATGTACTGATATTACCCTAAAAACTATCAAGTTTGTGCAGTGTCCTATGACATCTATGTACCAAGTTTTAATGAAATATGATGATTAGTACTTGAGATGCCAGTGGAAAAGCTGAAAATTGATTAATCATTATGCAAATTAGGTAATTAATATTGCACAGATTTTTACCCAAAACTAATCAAATCTGCGCATTAGTTTGGAGCATCTATGTGCCAAGTTTCATCAAAATCCAATGAGTGGTTCTTTAGATATCAGTTGAAAAGTCATGGAACAGCTAAAAATCAGCTAATTATCATGCAAATTAGGTAATTAATATGCATGGATTTTTACCGAAACCTAATCAAATCTTTGCATTGGCCCAGAGTATCTATGCACCAAGTTTCATCAAAAATCAATGTATGGTTCTTGAGATACCAGTGGAACAGACACGCACACACATACAGACACACTAACTGCAAAGACTCCCATTGTGTGCTTCGCACACAGGAGTCAAAAATATAATTTGCATGTTACCTCATGTCTTGATACAAACACTAAAGCATGGAATGCATACAATAGTCACCATTTATGGGATTCAAACAGGGACAAAATAAATATTATGACCATGTTGATTCTGTAGTTGTACAATGTAAGTAAGTAATGCCTTTATTGAAATCATATCCTGTTCAGGATCTGGATTTTTAAAATACAATAAAGTTTCAAATACATATAGAATGGCAAGACGAAAAATACAAATGAATGTATGTAGTACTTAAACAAGTAGCCTCTCACATGAGATAGCTCTGCTGTTAGCAACGCACATTTCCATTAGAAATAAAAAAAATATTCATCTAAATTAGAGAATTGAAGATGTCATCATGAAATGAACAAATCTGAAAGAAGTCCACCTATATAAGATCCAAGCAATCGGACTTGCAGTTTTGAATAAGAATTTGAAAATATATTTTTTTACTAAAAACTGACAAAAACATTTGACGGTCGATGACGGGCAATCATTAAAATTATTAGCTCTGCTTGACAAAGTCCACAACAGAGCTAACAAGTTTACGGGGATGATATCAGTGACGACAGACAATCAGTAATATGAGTATGTGTAGAGAATTCATAAAAAAACTGGGACAAGCTCACGAATGACTGACTGGTTATAAAATTAGCCCATATTTGTCATGCCACACAATAAGTCAAAACTATATAAAGTCTATTACTCTGAGATGTTGAAAAATTCATCTTAGAGCACCAGCAATAAAAAATTAAATATTTCATGTGACATGCTTTGCGTTGTATATCCGTATTTTATTAACAGTAGTTTTAATTCACTACATGAATTCATACTAAAAATAACCTTATAATGCACAGGATACAGCTGCTATTCAATACTCTAAGGACTAATGCTAGAATACAATACATTCACAGGAATTCTCAGATGAAATTCTCTGCCTTTTTTTACTGATGGCTTACCATATGCAGAGTAGATGATGACAGTGTAATTATTTATTATTTTAATATAGCAATAATTTTTTAACATTTTTTTTCCCGAAAATAACATAATTACACTGAAATGAAATCAAAGCTAAAATCACTGCACTGATGATTGTGTAAAATAAAAAATAAAATGATGCTAATATCATGGACTATATTGGCGTACTGTTTAATTTATTAGTACTGTATTTTGCAATCAAGCTTAATAGTCACATTTAAGTCATAAGAATTCATTCCTATATATTGTGTCACGAATAACATGTGTCAAGGGTCTTGAAAATCCTGATTTAAGACAAATCATAAAAAGTGATATACTGGGCCAGTTTGGCATATAGCATTTACATTAATCACTTCACTTTATTCTACCCAGTCATGGCAACTCTTAATTATTCATATTACGATAGACAAGCTCGGGCGTATTTTTAATATAAGCAAATGGGAATTGAATACTGAATATGTATGTACATGACAACTGTAGTCTAACAGATCAGCAAGATATGCTGCTCAATATAATTAGAGTAATTCAGTCTGACAGATCAACCAAATACACATACAATGTACTGCTTTAAATATAATAGACATCATGTAGCATATTCAAATCTTATACTTGGACAAGACACAATTTGTTGTAGCCAAATGTGAACATAGTTTGACATTGATGATGGGCGAAGGTTCAGGCGCAACCCAGTATACTAACTTTCTGATTTTCGGTCCAATTTTCATTTTTCAGCATTCTACTACACTATAACAGCTTATAAAATATCAGATAAATATGTTGAAATAACCAATTTGTTTTACTTTAGCCTATTCACCACCAGTTCTTACTTTTTATTACAAATTCGTCCTGTTTATAGTCTGCACTTTCCTTCAAAATGATTGGGACAAAAACAGGCAAATTTTTTGAGTAAAAACTGAAAATTGACTTAAATTTTGTCTGTTGATGACAAAATTTGGGTTCATTTCCAGAAATATTTAGGAATATAAGAAAAAAGTGGAGAAAAATTTGGGCGACAAAGTCTGGGGGTGAAAAGGTTAGATAAAGACAAATAAAGAGCTTACCAAATGTGTGAATGGTAAATATTGAAAGATCCACCACATCCATTCACCATATACCTGACGATCACTCTCAGCGGCTTTGTTGATATGTTGGTGAGCTGAATCCTGCAATAAACAATACACAAATATACCACAATAAATGTAAATGATAATTGCATCTACACACTGAAATTCCTATACTAATGCTCTCACATTAGCAGACCGGTTGTTGTGCATTGGTCATGCATGCTGTAGGAAAGAAAAGTTAAGAGTCAGTTGTTGAGAAGATCTGTAATGTGACTACTGGAAACCCACTTTTGATCAAAAAAATATAAAGCAGTGTGATTGGTAGAAAACAAACATATTGATCAGTTTAATTTGATGTAGAACACATTTTCAATATAATATTTGGCAAGCAGCTAGGAATTTAATATTTTCTCAAATCAGATTTTTGCCGATTCGCTTTGCTAGGATGGCCCTTAAAATCACTTTTGCATGTGAGTTTTCATGTACCGGTATTACTTTTTTGTGACTATTTTTTGGCTGGGCTGATTTCGCTCAAACTTGGCAGGCAGGTCACACCCGTTGTGTCGTCACAGGAAGCGCTGTCCCAGCACAGACCTGTGTCATATGACGCCTTACTAGTCAATTTTGGCTAAAAAAGCGCTCCGCCGCTTCTTTACACTAGTGTTTATACACGGAACTTGATAATCTTTTTTTCAATTTAAGTTGCTTTTTGATCTCGTATTGTAGTGAAATATTGTTTAGTGAGTGAAATATTAATGTCATAAATAATTCCATCTTTGAAACAACAGAAACTAACACATAATAACGATAATCAAATTTGTGTTTGAAGTTTGAAATTTGTTTACTTGCGTAATTTCTGGTTTCAACTAGTTCGAAAATAGAATGTCCTTGAACGCGATAGAACTCCATCCGAACCAGACACTAGCAGCGTAAACTTATTGCAATTTGCGCAATTTGGGCCCAGTTTGTTCTTACAAGTTTTCTAAGTTTCATTTATCATTATTTAGTAAACAGGTCCCTGAAACGATATCCGTAAAATACGTGATAATCGACGATTGTCTTCCAAACGTTCGAAATTTCGAACAAACTCCCGGCACACTTTGCGTGATATGCGTCAGATCGGTGTAGAAGACGCCGACCTGCAGCGTCAATGGGTCACACCTTCACTCTATTTAGGTGGTAAAATCTGAAAAGAATTCTGGCCTAATGTTGCCATAGCAACAGTCAAAAAAACTGATTTGTTAATATCTTTACACTAAATGTATCCTCCTCCTACAAATTTAGGATTAAAAAGCACAGACATAACTAATTTTACCCAGCTTGAGTGTGGGTACAAAGCTACTTTTTGTTTTTTCATTACTGAAAAATTTGACCTCAGAGTTGGGGTAACTTTTCACCAGAAACAGCTTTTTTAACTCTTCTGTGATTTTTTCGCTGGGCTGATTTCGTTCATATTTGGTAGGCAGGCCATACCTTCACTTCAAATGGGTGGTAAAATCCAACGGCATAAAAACTGATTTTTGAATACTTTTGTGCCAAATGTATTACCTATCAGTCTTGTCACGAGTCACGAGACTCAGTCACGAGAGACAACTGGCACAGACATTGTTTTAGTTTTAAACTGACATTAGCTTAACATTCAAAGCCTACCATGGCAAAGGCTGAAAAGATGTTTGTTTTTTGAGCAGAGCGAATCACCAATCGTTTTATGTATACACGAATAAAAATCACAACTAACTAATAACTAATTTGCATATTCAAAAGAGAAAAATTACATCGATGGTCTGAAAATTGATAGCGTCTTTTCATCATTTCCACTACATTCTTATTTCATTTCAACATTTTTATTTTTGTAGCTAGAAGATTTTTAAAATCAGTTACTGCATAGGTACCACTAACTTTTTTAAGTAATGTAGCAAAACATGAAAGTAATAGCCAGTGAGGCCCAAATAGCGGGTATAGTCAACATCAGCTAATCAAACTTTACCGTCAGAAAGATCACAAAATGCATTTTATAATATTTATGATTGTGCTGCCAGCAAGTATGTTAAATTTATGGTTCACCCAATGGCATTATACTGTAAAATCTGTGTTAGTAGCCGCGACTTCTATTAAAATGGTACAATGCTACAGAAGGAATGCGGCTTCTATTAGAGCCATCAACACATGAAAAATGATGAATTTTTGGTTCTCAATTGTTCAAAAAGAATGGGAGCGCGTCTTCTATTAGAGATGCAGCTTCTAATACAGATTTGACGGTATTAGTGATACAACCACCGATTATTCCCATGTGGCTTGTAAAAGCACACAACTCGATCCTTTTTAAAAATTATTACAATCTGTCAAAACTAAATGGAGTCCATTATGATATAACTCTTGCAATATTACATTATAACACATTATAAAACTGATATTCATATGTGTTTCATGGAAGAAATCAGCTATAAATCATTTCCAGGAGCTCTGCTAGTTATTTGTGGCTTACCAAACCAGTAAATTACTGCTTCAGAAATGTTTACCAGTTGATGACTTAAGCACCAACCACAATATTTTAGGGAAGTCACTATGACTTCCTATATTATCAAAAAAATATGTATTGTATACTAGGATTTGATCATTAAAATAAGATTTATTTCGACCATAGGCACACCTATGTCATTTGATTAAGCAAAAGCACTACTAATAAAAAAGAGTAATTGATATTGTGCTGGAATTATATGGCTATTTTGTGGGGTTGTCAAGGCATTAAAAAAAAGGGGGGGTTAACGCTTAACCTTTCATCGTCCATTAATTCCTTAATTTTAAACCTATTCAATTTAATATTACGGTACATACATGTAGATTAAATTTTTTGACCTATTGGTGGTAACAAAAAATAGACCTTATTGAAATAGAAAGCAGTAACATGTCTTTTCGCTGTAAAATGTGGTTAGATGCAATTAATTACTATACAATAAATCTCAGTTTTGCCTACAGTGTTGCTTATACCTGCACGGTTGATATTAAATTTATAACAAACACAATCATCAAATAAAGCTAGAAAACAGCAATGGATTTGCCAGTTAACACAATCATGCATTTATTTGCTGACATTCAAGACGACTGCATACTGTAAATTTGTTAAACTTCACGATTTTTTCAAGGTTTCTTGTCAGACTAGTCAAAATCAAAACTAAAAATGCTGCAGCTCAAGAATGAATTCATACTTTATAATTATCTTTACTGGGTATTACTGGTATGTCCAACTCTCGAACTAGGCCAAAAAAAAACAACTTATGTTGCCCTCAAGTCGAAATATTTTGTCTGTCGGTCGGATTTTTGTTTAAAAATTTGTGAAAACTAAGATTATCGTAAATAGCCAAGGTATATGGACTTCATAGTATTCGGAACATGTCAGAGAAATACAGATCAACTTGCGGCTCGCTCAAAGTCGCCACTTACGGGGACTCTGGGGATCAAACAACAGTCCGGGATCCTTAATTTTTAGTGGAAACACTTTTTTACTGCTTAAATGTTTTTAATATTTGGGCCTATTAAAAAAAAAAAAAAAAAAAAAAGCGCGACCGGATATTTCATATTTTTCGGACGGTCGCTGAGGGCAACAAAACAATTTTTTTTTTGGCATATAGCAATTGCTGAAGACCCAAACATTTAACTGCAATTGAGTAACACAATGTTTGCATCATTTTTAATTTTGTAATGAAAATCAGGAAATTAAAAAAATATATATATTACTGGTTCTTCAGTATCAAGTAGGAAGCCATGTACATACAGCTCTACATACCAGAGTTGTAGGACACAAAGTGACCAGTTTTGATTTATTACTAATTAAGTGTGGACAGGTCTAATGAGTGGTGAGTCAACAATCCTATGGGATCCACTGTAAATGCAGTAATTATTTGCAGGCTTTTAATTTCGCTACTTTCACCGATTAAGTAAAATGCGCTAAATTAAATCTATGTGAACATGTAAAATAATAGAGCTCATTTTTTATCGCCAAATTTGTTAACAAAAAATCAAGTGTAATTACTCAAAGCATCAAAAAGGTAAAAATAAATGCAAGTGAAAATAAAATGTTTTTACAGTACCGGTATTATAAATAACTAATAGACATCCAAAAACAGGTAACAGACAAATGTAATTACCTGTGCCAATGACTGGTTACCATGGCAACAATGTCATTTATCATCAATGTGACATCAGTTGCCAGTTAATGAAGAGGCACACATACATATATAGATGATGAAGCAGATGTTGTTTTCATCCTTTCAATTAATTCAATATATGTTTCTGATCAATAATTCCCAAAAGAATATACATTGTACATGTTAAAATGAGAGTTTTGCTGCATGAGTGGACAGATTTAAATTGCCCATCAAGTGAAAAAAATACACAGTTCCTGTTTCCTTCAGAGGTAACAAGAATGGAAAACTATGTATCTTGTTAAAATAGCATTATGCCTCTCGGTTAGTCTTGCAGAAACTTGCTTGTTGATTGAGTGGTCTGGGATTGTAGACCAGAAAGCCCAACACTAATAGTAGAAAAAGAAGGGTTTTTCACCTCTATAGAATGTCAGTATAAATGAGAGTCATTTTAATGTTGATGTTCCTAATGCAAACAAGCAAATCAAACATCAGTTCTAGAAAATATGGGAATGTCAATCACAGCACTTATAATTTACTTGCACAGTGTAACATTGGCTAATTTCCCCGGGTAACTACGCAGGAGATTATTACAAAGTAAAATAACTAGGCATTTGTGAGTTTACTCACACTGAGAGGGCAGGTCATGGCTTCTCAACAATTTCAAATCATATGCGTCTTCTAATACGTGTCATGGAATATATCCCAGCAACCAACCTTGCATCAACAATAAATAACATTTGATAACCCATATAGAGATCATAGTAATCGAAAAGATCTCATCATCGACGGAATATCACCTGGTAACTATAACAACCGAATCAGATAACACCATCACAATTGAATAATAATACCAAAGAAGTGCAATAATGACATTATTATATCAGCTGAAAACTGTTGAAAATTAATGAATTCCAAGTTATGCATTCACACACTTTGTTACTCATACATACATAC